AGAGTTTCTAATTTGAAATTAATTATCTCACAATAGTAATTGTATTATTATTGAGTTGTATTACAGTTCCCAAACAGATTAATGTTTTTATTTAATGATTCACTTTTTGTGTTATGCATATGTGTATGTATGTGATATGGCAGGATTTCCGGGTATTACAGTCTTGATAAAAAAATATTGTGCATTATGTTAGTTTGTGGCTGCTGCATAAGGTCTCAGTTTACAATAAACATGCTAGAACAGAACAACTCTTCATTTGATAATACATGTTTTAATAGGTTTCTAAATAGACTAATATAACTTCTTGCACTTTTAAATTTTATAAATGTTTTATGTAATATAGCCTAGACTTATCAGAAGATAATCTTTTGAGGAAAAAAGTTGTTATGTGTAATATATTAAATAACTTTTGCAAATAATTCTGTATTTCCTTAAGTTTAATTTAAATAAATGTATAACACCATATATGATGTTACAATATGCATATGCGTTTCTTAGCATTTATTTAAATTAAGGAGGATCTCCATTCTGTTGAATCGAAAGCTAACAGATGCTATACTAGATTCCATTCCTAGAACATGTTTCCTTTCATTACCTTTGTCCCCATAAAAAACAAAGGAAATGTAAAATCTGTGAATGTTAGTAGTACCACATTCTGGGTTGTGTTATTGTTGTAAATTAAATTTGTGTCTGTGTGTGTGTAGGCTGAGACCACATTTGGCTGAGGAACACCTTTCATGAAATACATGGGCCAGGTGTAGAAGCTGATAAGACCAGGCACAAATCCATTGTCTTGAATTTCGTTTAAATTAAATATAATTGTTCCCTTATATATTTAATCTTTTCCCTGATTTGTCATATTAAGAAATCAAAGATGGCAGAATTCTTGGAAGGGCTCTGGAAACATTAGCCAAGATTTGGGAGGGCTGCTTGTAACTTTATGTATCACTGTTGTATATCAAGCAAAACATTAAGGACACATTTTCTTACAGTACTCTAAATGTGGCTGAAGTCAGTGGAGTTTACAAGTGTTGGATCATGTATTAAGATTTCATTAGATCCAGTGCATTTTGGTATTTACAAAGATAAATAGACCATGAACCTAAGCTTCCAAAGGCTGATATACGAACCCCACTAATTTATACCTTAGTCAAACTACATACAAACCCATTGTTTAAGCAGAAAAAAAAAACCACCCATGTCTAGTTGGGATGGGAGTGTTTGTTTCTTTTGCATTACTGTCATTTTCTGAAAACTTAAAAAAGGAGGAGGAGAATTCATTAAACATTTATGCATACTTGCAAAGAGTATAAAAAAGAGTGTGTATATAAGGCCCCAAGGCTTGGCAACATTGGACTGAAAAATGCATGTAGACTTTTTAATTAAAAAAATATCAATTTTAGCAGAAACAGTCATTTTGACTGAAGACTTAAGAGGTGGATGAACCCAGTTTCCAGTTCAGTATAACTTCTGTAGATTCCGACGCCCAAGTTCTCTTCCCATGAGTGATTGGTTCAGTAATGTGAATTGCTGTATCAGGGCACTATGGCTTTCTATAAAATGTTGTTGTTGCGAAGTTGTGTCTGACCCATCACGACCCTATGGACAATGTTCTTCCAGGCTATCCTGTCCTCTACCATCTTCTGGAGTCCATTTAAGCTCATGCCTTCTGCTTCAGTGACTCCATCCAGCCATCTCATTCTCTGTCTATTGCCCCCAATCTTTCCCAGCATTAGGCTCTTCTCCAGTGAATCCTTCCTTCTCATTAGGCACCCAAAGTACTTGAGTTTTAACTTCAGGATCTGGCCTTCTGAAGAGCAGTCGTGGTTGATTTCCTCTAGGACTGACCAGTTTGATCGCCTTGCAGTCCAAGGGACTCACAGGAGTCTTCTCCAGCACCATAGTTCAAAGGCCTCAATTCTTTTGCACTCAGCCTTTCTTATGGTCCAACTTTCACAGCCATACATTGCAACTGGGAAAACCATGGCCTTGACTATAGTACTTTTGTTGGCAGGGTGATGTTTCTGCTTTTTAGTATGCTATCTAGATTGGCCATAGCTTTCTTCCCCAGGAGCAAGCGTCTTTTAATTTTTTTTGCTGCAGTCCCCATCTGTGGTGATTTTGGAGCCTAGGAAGATAGAATCTGTCTAGCTCCATTTCTTCCCCATCTATTTGCCAGGAATTGAGATGGCCGGATGCTATGATCTTAGTTTTCTTAATGTTGAGTTTCAAGCCAACTTTTGCATTCTCCTTCTTCACCCGCATCAAGAGGCTCTTTAGTTCCTGGCTTCCGGTTCCGGTTCGCGGTGTCACTAGCCGCACGGTGAGACTTCTCGTCAGCTAGGTTTCCCTCCGTCGGTGGACCCTTATACGGGTCCAAAGTCTCCCTGGAGAGTGCGACTTCTGTCGAGGAGGCTGTGGTCCAGCTTTGGAGAAGTGGCGGCTCCTCCAGCTGTCCGGATGAAACTCTGAGGACCGACGGAGAAGAAGATCGGCCAGTAAAATGGCTGATCGCCCTGCCGCTTCAGACCGTAAGTCGAAGAACATCTAAGCTTTTAGTGCCCGCGTGGTGAATTCGGGTGAGAATTTTTTTTCATATTTTTCTCTCTTTTCCGTTTATTTTTTTTCAATGGTGTGCCTGTAAAGAGCTTTTGAAATTATTTCCCTGGCTTGGAAAGGCGGCTTCTGCTTTTTTACGGGAAGAAAGGCACTCTATAAATACTGAAAAGCTATAGTCTATTTTTATTGGGACACTAAAAAGGAAAAAAAAAGGAAAAGGTTTCTCCTTCCTTTTTAAGAAATCTACTATTTCTACCTATATATATAACCTTAAAAGACAGAAAAAATTAAAAAAAAGAATTGACTTTTGGAAAGGACTTTCTGAACTCACTGAGGACATCTAGTGGCGAAAATCTAATACTGTAACTTCACTTATGAACTTTAAAAAACATTAAAGATAAGCTGTGCACCTGTGAAGCTGTGGGGGTGGGTGTTTCTACACTAAACAAAGCCTCTACAAAAAAGAAAAAGAGATCTCCTTTTAAGCATTAGTATTAAAATGGAGAAACCTCAGATACAATTGAATTCTGCACTTATATTGGAAAAGATCTATGAGGCCACTGCAGAAATTTGTGCTACATTTAAGAACTGTACTTTAGAATTAAGATCCAGAGACTCTACTATATTTGCCCAAAATGATGTCCAGGTTACAACTGATTATGACATAAATCAAAATGTGCCAGAAGAGGAATTTACAGAGATAGAAGTGGAATTTATTTCATCTGACAATCCCTTATCCAGCAATTTAGAGAACCAGAAGAAGCAAAGACTAAGACTTCAAAATACAAAGCAACTATATCGCAAAGAGAATAGAAAAAGACATTTACTGCAGAGGAAGAGATCTATATTCTCTCAAAGATTATTACAAGCAATAAGAATTGACCTATTGGTTGAAAAAGAAAAAAGATGCTTACTGTAGAGAAAGGGACATACGTTTGCTCAAACATTCCTACAAGCATCGAGAATGGACTTACTGGTTGAAAGGGAAGCGTCTTTATGGAAGTCGGTGTGGCAGAGAAAGAAACCCAGAATTAGACTTAAAAATAAATTTAAAAACATTTAATGGAGTAAAAAAGCAATGTTGACTTTATGGATTGTTTTAAGGATAATGATTACGGAAAAATGCAGTTATATACATATGTGTTTAAGTTAGTAAAAACTATTTAATGGATTTAAAGGCAATGTTGGTTTTATGGATTGTTTTAAGGATAATAATTTAGATTTAGAAGTAAGAAAATTACAATTATATATATATATGTGTGTGTTTAATTTAGTTTGATGACTTTTTGTTTTATGGAAATTTGATATGGAATTATGAAAGTTGAATGTGGAGTGAAAAAAGAAACTTGGCTTTATAGAGACTAAGAATGTACTCCTTGGAATAATAGATTGATTTAGACTGGAATTTTTGGAATGCTTAATTAGGAGATTTTTGCGTATAATAATACGTTTTGACATGGTATGATAATTAATTAGATGGAATTTGGTTTTTTTTAGTGAATGGAAATGAATTAAGTCAAAGACTACTATAATTAACAAAAATCGAATTATTGACTGAAAGGTTAAATAATTATGGGCAAATTTTGAGCATGATTTAGATTTAGAAGTAAGAAAACTATAACTATATACATGTGTAATGTTTAATTACTTAAGAGATGTTTGTGCATAATAAGATGATTTGATAAGATATGATAATATTGTTTTTCTTTCCTTTTATTAAGTTACTTATTATTGGAAGAAGAAATAAATAAGATTGGTGATAAAAAAGGGATGAGAGGGATTAAGAATTTGAATATATTTGTAAGAGGTATTTGAAGTGATAATATGCTGATGTAAAACATTATCTGATTATGGTAATTGAATTTGATTTTAAGTTTTAATAAACAGGTTTAGCAGTAATAGAAATTTAAGATAGAAATGAAATGTATTAAATTTACTATGTTACTTGAGGGAAATAGAGAGATGATAGCGAATGTATTAAGTTGAGCTGTTATTGTGTGATTTTATGTTGGAATCCTTGTGTACCCAAACACCACGGTGTGTCTTAAGTACTTTTTGTTAAAACTATAAAACCAATAAAATATATTTTTTTAAAAAAGAGGCTCTTTAGTTCCTCTTTACTTTCTGCCATTAGAATGGTATCATCTGCATATCTTAGGTTGTTGATATTTCTCCCGGCAATCTTAATTCCAACTTTTGATTCATCTAGCCCTGCCTTTCTCATGATGTGCTCTGCATATAAGTTAAATAGGCAGGGTGACAGAATGCAGCCTTGCCAGACTCCTTTCCCAATTTTGAACCAATCAGTGGTTCCGTGTCCAGTTCTCTCTGTTGCTTCTTGACCCGCATATAGGTTTCTCAAGAGATAAATAAGATGGTCTGGTATTGTAGTCATATTTTTTTTAACATTTCTCTATTTAAATATGTCTTCTTTTTATTAGATGGAGGAATGTATCACCAGTTGGACAGCCTATACCAGGAACTCGATTCATTGCTTTTAAAGTACCCTTAAAAGGGGTATGTATAAAACTATTTCTATGAAATTATATTAACTACAAAAGGAAATCAATACAGCAAGATTCATTTTATATAATCAATGTTTGACTATAAATAGAATCTGTGCAATACTACAGATTCAGTTCTAAAGAGATGTTTCAAAGTATACTGGCCAAAAATGTATCACCCTTGTAGTTACATTTGAATCTCTGGACAGCTGACTATTAAGTTTCCCTTCAGAGGATAACAGCATTTAATATACTATTAAATAAGACCAATTACGCTATATGGTTTTCACACAATCCCTCTGTCATCAGTGCTACCTCTACTATGGAGTATTTGTTACTTTGGTCGGCATTTATTTTAATGAGGGAACCATATCTTTCCTCAGTTTTTTTAAATCTAATAAACTTACATTTGATACTCTGACATTAAATAGCTAACCTTCAATTGCATGTTTGCACATTTTTCCTATGATCAAATTCATTCAGAATATTGCACAAAATTTTTCCTTATTCACCCACTGGTTCTCCATTATTGTCTTTCACCGAAATATAACATGCAGCAATCACCACACTGTCACCCAACAATGGATTTATGCTTTCAAATACACCCACAGCAATCTCAATGACATCAATTCATAGTTTTGCATACATTATAAACCTTTTCATTAATAATTAAACCTGTATTTTCATGCACATATTCATCAACTTCACTTCAAGCACTTCAATGTCAAGCTACTTTTATTTAGATCTTAGTACATTTTTCCCCATTTTACTTTTACAAACATTTAGTATTCTTTTTATTTCATTTAGTTTATTTATATATATGCTTATATTTACACATATGCTTGTACACATATGCTGTACATTTACTCCTCTTACATTTTTATTCAAGTAACTTAGCCTTTGTTTGCTCATTAAAGCTGATGAAAAGGTTCACATATGAATTAATTTGAAAACATAATAGGTGAAACAGACATTTTCTTTTAATTTGAATAGCACTGTTCCTAGTTCTACTGTTGATGATGTTCCTCAAAAATGGAAGAAAGGGTATTTCTGTTTGCTGTGTATTTATTTATTAAGTCTTAAATCTATTAAATATATTTATTTATTAAATTAAATCTTATTGTTGAAGCAACTTTGTATCTGATAAATAGTAATACTATCTAAGAATATACAGAGTTATACATTATGAAATATACTTCAAAAAGATGGAAATGCAAATATAAAAGATGTTTACTTCACAATTACCTACTCTACCTAGACATTGCTTACTGACTTCTCTGTAGAACAAGTAACTTCACTTATTCATATTTAATTCAGAATCATAGCATTGGATGAATGCTTTCAGAGTCTATGCATTTGTTCAGTATGGAATATAAAATATGAAATATTTATTATTGTTATCTCTATACTAGCCTGTGGTAAAAGAATATATACAACTAGAGTAAAAAGAAAAGCAACTTCAGTCCTTGAAAGGACTGTTAGCTGTTCTATTTATTTTTAAATAATTTATTTATTTGCTTAGAAACTACCTGATAGTTCTGTATGCTTAAGTTTTGTTTTCAGTTTAACTATTTTTTAAAAATTTAATGAGTCGGATTTTTCTATCTGCATAAGAATATCTTTCCCTACTGTACTTATTTTTTTTCTGCATCCTAGGTAATCAATCATCGACTTACACCAACTCAAAAGTTTACACCAAAAGATCTGATTGCTGCAGTGAAAGCTTTCAATATGGAGCTTGGTTTAATCATTGATTTAACATATACAACAAGATACTATGATATCAAGGTAATAGTAAATTAGTATTTGCTGGGGATAATAAAAATATTTGGCCCATTTTTTTTCAATAATGATATAGAAATAGTTCAAGTTGTTATGGAATTTTCAGTCTTCAGCATCAGAGGAACTGTTCTATTACAGATTGTTCATTTCTTGCTGGAAATGAACCTACCCACCTAGCCCATTCATCAGGAGAAAGCCTGCTGAAAGTTAATAGGCATGAGAGAGACAGTAGGTATTCTCTATAGCAGAGATCCCCAACCCCCAGTCCATGGCACAGTACCAGTCTGCAGCCCATTGGGAACTGGCCACGCAAATGGCGGGCGAGTTTATGAAGCTCCATTTGGGCAAGTGGCAGGCGCGCACACAAAACCATCCTTTCCGCCCCCACCATCGCCGATGCTGCTACTGCCAATCCACACAGCTAGAAAAGTTGGGGATCGTTACTCCACAGCATCCTCAACTTTATGGAACGATCTTCCCCAAGGAATATACACAGCACTCACCTTGTTGCAGTTCTATAGTCTGGTTATAATAATTTTATTCCCAAGTTGTTTTTGGCTCACATGGCTGACTTTGGATGCTGATTTTGGTTTATAACTTAACCTCTCTTTTGTGTCTGTATTTTTTTAATTTTTTATATTCATATGAATTTAGTTATTTCCTACTAGGTTTTTCTGTTTACTTGATGTGGTGAATGACTAAAAGTCCCTTCAATTTGGGGTAGGATGTAAGTAGCATAGGAAAAGAAGGAAGTTTAAAAGGAAAGAAAAAAGGGAATGCATTATGCTCGTTAATGGTACTATTCATCCATGTCAAACATGTTTTGCAAAATACAATAAGATATATCCTTTCTTGAGAGCTTAGAGCTTAGTATATGATGCAAATTGAAGCGAAAGATAGATGCACTAGGATTTTGGAATGAAAAATATTATAATATTAGATTGGCGTATGCAGAACTGGAAGCACTCTAGAGAGAGATGCACTTTGTGTCATGTAACTTCCCTAGAAGCTGGAAAAAATACAAATTAAAGCATAAATCACAGAGAAGAAAATCACCAATACTTCACAAACAAAAAAGGCAATGTTATACAGTAGTCCTTCACTTACCACCACAATTGAGCCCCAAACTTCCACTGCTAAGCAAGGAAGTTGTTAAGTGAGTTTTGTCCCATTTTCTTGCACAATTGTTGTGAATCACTGCAATTGTTAACTTAGAACATGTTACTTAAATAAATCTGGTGTCTGACTTTGCTTGTCAGAAGGTCGCAAAAGGTGATCACATGACCCGGGGACATTGCAACCACCATAAATATGAGCCAGTTACCAAGCGTCCAAATTTTGATCATGTAACTATGGGGATGCTGCAATGGTCATAAGTGTGAAAAATGGTCATAAATCACTTTCTTCATTGCTGTTAACTTTGAGTGGTTGTATGGTTGTTAGTTGAGGACTATCTATATGCTTCCATTGTGAATATGGCAGTATCTTCTGAGTGCATAATTTGTATCTACAAGAAGGAATCATTATTCTTAAATGCTAGATCATCTAATATATCAGTATTTTACTCTGCATTTTGAAGAACTAAAATCTTAAAATGTATTCTACACTAATCTAAATGAAAGTGTTTCTCATAGTTTCTTTGCAATGGAACATTAGAATTTCGACTTTGGTTACTTTAGTGCAGGGGTGTCAAACTGCCGGCCTGCGGCTGGTTTCATCATACCGGAGCCGCGCCCACCCCATTATCGGCAATGGCAAAAAAGCTCCGATACATCGCGCGACATTACGTGACATCGCGAGTTTGACACGCCTGCTTTAGTGGAATATTAAGTGACAGGGAGATTGGCAGCACAATCCTACACATGACTACTCTGAAATTAGTCCCACTGAATTCAATAGAATCCAATAAGATAGTGTAGACGTCTTAAACTCAGTGTCACAAAGTTTTGTCAAAAGGTTTTATTGATTTTAAATCAAACTTCTCAAACTTAGCTGCTTATTTCCAGATGTAATTCAAGGTAATGATTATCACCTTTAAAGCCCTAGATGGTTTGAGACCAGGTTATTCTTTTTCCAAGAGTTTCTTTCTGTCCAATCTGATCCAAGAGATTGGGCATGCTGCAGATCCTGTCAGCCAAAGAGTCTTAACTACCAGGAATTAGAAGACGGTCTTTTTCTGCTGTAGCCCCTGCCTTACAGAATACTCTCCCCTTGGAGATTAGAATGGTCACAACCCTGTTGGCTTTTTACAAAACGTAAACATTTTGGCTATGTACCCGGGCCGGAGGCTTGGAAAGCGTTAAGGGCCCTGTCACTTGGCTTTACTATTAGTTGGTTAATCATCAGAGCTGCCGTTTCTACTTATTTATTTTACGGATGTTTTTATTGTTTTAGTGTTTTTTGAATTGTTTAATTGTTTTAGAATTTTAGAACTGTAAGCCCCCCAGAGTCACTTGGCTGAGTTGGGTGGCTGTAGAAACTGAATAAACAAGCAAGCAAGCAAACAAACAAACAAGGAATAATTTAAAGATTGCAGATATCCCTTCCAATTGTCATGGAGGCACTTATACAATGAAATATCTATTTTTAAGTAACCTCATAAAATGTTACTACTGGAAAAAAAGTGTTAAAAGGAATTTCAAGTGACATCAGAGTGGGATCATGAAAACACTTTTAAAACCAATACACTAGCCATGCTGTCATATGCCACAATACAACAGTTTAGCTTTATTCACAGGTGCTCTCACTACCAGAATTCCTATTAAATATTGGAATGAGGTGAGGAAGAAAAAAATGTAAAGATCTCCATTGTAGAAGTTGCACTGAGTTTTGTATTTAGAGGTCAAGTTGTACTAACACAAATTGAGATTGCTGCAACATAAAAAAGTAAGATTATTCACGTAATGCCACTATGCACTTAATTTCTTTAAAAATGAATTGTAAAATACTGAATCTTAAAAGATATATAGTAATAAATTACTATATTAACTGTAGTATTTGTTCATCTTTCCATGCTAGGATTTGCCCAAAAGTATGGAGTATAAGAAACTTTTTACTGTAGGACTTGAAGTCCCAGATGATCCTACTATTCTACAGTTTAAAAAATGGGTCAGAAAATTCCTGTGGGAAAATGCAGACAATGGTAAATAACAGCCTTTATAATTTCATACTAGAGAGCCAGAACAATTGGAATTTTGGCAGACAGGTTGGGTATCATATAGGAATAATTACCCTTATATATCCATATTATTCTAATTCAGAAACATCAAACATAGCCTGGGGTAGGTTTCTACATTCTACACAGAAGATAGAATGGGGTGTCTTGCACCCACATGGTTATAAAAGAGTGCTACTCTCTACCTAATATACAGGTAATCCTCAACTTTTGACCTGACAAAAACAGTTGTAAATCATAAAGTGGGTCCTCACATAACCAACCAACTTTTTTTGCAGTGGTCGTTAAGCAAACATGGCAGTTGTAAAGCTAACCTTGTGGACGTTAAACAAATCCATTATACTCTATGGGCCGTTTTTTGCCAGTAACCAGGAGTAACACCAGTTTCTGGCAAAGCTGTCATAAATATGGAGTGCTTCAAATGGCCATAAATGCGGGCCAGTTGCCAAATGCCCCAAATGCAATCACGTGATTGCAGGATGGGGCAAGTTGTAAAGAGCTGTTGGGGGATCTGTTGTAACTTTGAACAATTGCTAAGTCAAAGACTACCCAAACTGCATGCCAATTAACAAAGCTGTCACCTTTGGTGTCAACTTTAATAGCATAAAACACCTGTTAACCAAAGAAAAAGCCATCTTAAGACTTAGACCACCCCTCTCATAATCTAAGAGTGGTTGGTCCTATCGATTTTGCCTCTTCTTGATCACACATATGCAGCAGAGGTCGCACAACTTGCTCCCAAATTCCCATTTTTTTCCAGTTCTGAATCAAAGTTTCAGAGAAATGTAATTGCATGGATCTACTAAAGAGTATTTTTTTTAAAAAAAAACTTTCTTTATATCATGCATTAACATCACATGTTTGCATTGTTTAATTTTCGTTTTGCTTTTCCAATAGAGAAACTCATTGGAGTACACTGTACTAATGGAATTAATAGAACAGGTTATCTTATATGCAGGTAAGTGTTACAGCAAACATTAAATAATTACTTTCACTACAAAGATAGTTTGGTCATCCATAATTGTATTTATGTTCCTTTAGATATCTTATTGATGTTGAAGGTTGGGATCCAGAAACCGCAATCCAAGGTATTTGCGTGCCATTTTAACAGAATCCAAGGTTATGCAATACTGTTTGGTTGAATGAGCTGTTGTAACCGAGAACCAACATACCACTTCCCAAAGTATCACACGTGAATTGAAGAATTTTCTCCCCTGCTTTCGCTCTCGGGCTCATAACACAAAAATGTGCTTCATGGAATTCTAGCAGGATTTCCATGCTGGAAGTGGAAATGGCCTCCCTTCCTATATTTGAATGAAAGCACTTTGTACTTGTATAATAAAAGGAGAAGTGTTTCATGTAATTTCTTTAGGTAGTCCAGACCTAATACTGCTTGTAGTTTTTCTGGAAAGTTGATTTTGTGGCATTGTCTCCTTGCAAAAATGCCTAGTGATTAAGCAATTCACTTACTATAGGTAGTCCTTGACTTACAACAGTTTGTTTACTGACTGTTCAAAGTTACAACACTGAAGTGACTTATGACCATATTTCACACTTATGACTGCTGCCGCATCCCCATGCTCATGTGATCAAAATTCAAACACTTGGCAATTAATTCATATCTATGTGGGTTTCAGTGTCCCAGGGTCACGTGATCCCCTTCTGCAACCTTCTGACAAGTCAGAAGTCAGTGGGAAAGCCAGATTCACTTAATAATTGTGTTCTTAATTTAATAACTACAATAATTCACTTAACAACTGTGGCAGGAAAAGTCATAAAATGGGGCAAAACTCAATAAATGTCTCATTTAGCAACAGAAATTTTGGGCCGAATTGTGTTCATAAGTTGAGGGCTACCTGTACATTAGTCTCTATATTTATTGTATATTTATTGACATGTCAAAATCATGGTGCTGTGGCTGATATACAAGAAATGTTCATAGCAATGGATAAGTTTTGTGATTGAAAAAGAAGTATAATATAGGACTCCAGTGAGAGGCATTGGTCAGTTTTGGATGCAATAGCAAACAATTTATTTTATAAGCAGAGATTTGTAGGAAGAAAAAAATGTCTTTCTCTCTTGGTGGTACAAAGAGGAAATCCAAATATATACAGTTTCAAGTCACTGCAGTTACTATGACAACTTTTTCAATATTCTTTCTGATAACCATTTCCACTTAACGGGGGCAAATTCAAGGAAGTTTCAATTTACTGTTAAATGAGAACTTTGGCTAAGTTTAGTAACAATTAATATTAAGCACAATCTTTGCTTGTGCTTAAGTAGAAAAAAATATTTTGGGGAGGAGAAGCTGTACAGAGTCTTGTTCCTGATTTGCTATGCTCAGCTGATAGGAACATTTATATGAGAACCATCCTGTTGCAGTTGTGGTTTTGAAAGAGTTATTTCTAGTATCAGCATATTATTAAAATTCTAAAAAACAGAAGTCATATTCTAGAATTATGTGTTGTTATTCAACTTTTCCTCAACAGCTTGTCCATTTTTCACCAAGAGCACTGTTTCACATAACTAATGTTCTTGCCACCTGTTTAGCTTTTGGAGAAGCACGTGGTCACCATATGGATGGTCATATATATTTGACAGATCTTAAAACTCAACCAATGAGAAGGTGAGTCAAGTCCTATTCTTGTCGAGTATGTTCCATTTCTGTTCTGACGCATTTTAAATAAGCTTCAATGTTTATTTTTTTCTGAATTTGATTGCAACAGGCAGAATAGTCATTGTCTTTTTAAACATTTTATAAACAGGCATCAAATATACAGCTTGGTAAAGTGGAAAGCAAATATTGAACCCTAAAAGATTTAGATAGATGATATCCTGATTGAAAATACCTACAAGAGTACAGCCATTTCAGGGAGAGACTATCGAAAAGTATCCTATAATCAATAGAATTATGCTATAAATCCTGCTGAGAACTTCTCCCTTCTTTTACTGGAGATAGTGTAATCACACTATTTTTGTCTTTTTTCATTGTATCCTCAGCAAAAAATGTGTTATATTCTTTTTTGAAATTCCTTAGCAACCTGGGGATGAATATGTGGGATGCTGATGGAGATATTGTGCCACTGCTAAATGATGTAGATGGACATATTGATCGATTTCCAAGTGAAGAATATTCTAGGTAACTGCCAAAAATGTATTTGTCTTCATGTGATAGGAGAATTGTATAAATCTAACTTGTATAATTTAACCCTGATGGAATAATAAATATTTTTAAACATGTTAAAAATATTAATGCACTCATCTTCAAGCTTTATTTCATATTTACACATTGATATTAGTAGTACAGAAAACTGTAAGCAGGGACATGGGTCAAAGGTCATTGCTCCATTTTTTACAGTTTCCTTTTGGTTAGCTGGAATCCTTACTGACAACTCACCAGCTTTCTCACTGTACCAACCTCAGCAGGAAAGAGAGGCTTTCATAGCCAAGTTCAAAATGCAGGGGAGTGAGAATTAGACCCTATGCGTAAGTGTATTTACATGTACCATATGGGTCAGAGAAGATGTTCAATAAGAGCAAATTAAATTCTAAAATATTTTGAGAAATTTACATTTGTCCTTTTATAATTTGTTTTTGTTAATCTATACCAGGGGTGTGAAACTGCCGGTCCGCAGGCTGGACGCATCATCTGGAAGCCGCACCCACCCCATTGCCAGCAATGGCAAAACCGTCCCGATATATTGCGCGACGTCACATGACGTCGCGAGTTTGACATGTCTGATCTATACTATCACTTGATTTTCTTAAGAAATAATACTTAACAATTTTTCCTAACAGGCCTGGTAAAAGACCAAGAGTTTATGATGATAGCCCCAATGATTTTCCAAAACAGATCCGATTGAGAGAATTTGATTTTATTAATAAGGGTCCTGGGCAACGTCGAAAACCATATCATGATTACCATTTTCATGATGACATCCAGCCACTGCCACAAATGAGACAAAGGCATTTCCCTGACCACCAGTTTCATGATGACTACCAAGAAGAAATGCAGATTAAAGATTTAAAATTTAGTACAAGAGGATCAAGACACAGATTTCAATCTTTTCAAGACCACCAGCTTGATAATGACTTTCCAGGAAATGTATCAGGTGGAGACATTAATATGGACTATAGTCAAAGGCATAGACATTTTGCTGACACTCCTTGTTATAACCATAGACCGACAGATAACCAGCTCAATGGAGGGCGAGGACAAAGACGAAGACCATTTTACAATCGGCAGTCTAGTGATGATTTTCAGTCACCCTTGCAGGACAAAAATCAGTTGTTCCTGAACAAGAGACCTATGGAAAGACTAAGACTGTTTCAGAACTGTCCTGTTCATGATGATGTCCAGCCACCTGCAGAAGATTTTGAGTATGTTGCTAGAGAGTGTGGACAAAGAATTGTACCTTTCCTTGACCAGCAGCATTACAGCGAATTACGAAGAAAATTGTCATTAGAACATTTTGATGATGAAGATTCCAATGGAAGAAGTAGACCATTCCATGATAATCAATCATACTGTGATTTTAGTGAGAAGTCACAGATGCAAGATTTCCAAAACAGGGGACCTGAACAAAGGCTGAATTCTTTTAATGATCATTCAACTCACATTAATGAGTCATACGAGGAATATTCTGAAAGGTGAGAAGAATTATTAATTAGCTTCAATAATATTACATTATTTGTTCAATTTTCTTTTGCAACCAGTTTTTAACTAGCAAAACTGAAGATCATATAAATCAATAAAACAGACATCATTGTCTTTTAATTTGTTACTAATAGTTTGAATTACATTTATGCAGAGCCAGATGCAGATTTTTTTTACACATTTCTGTAAATCCATTCATACTAGCTAGTTTACACTTTTGATATATGATTATACTAATGAAACTGGCAACCATGGTATAAACATAGTCCTTGGCCTACGACCACAATTGAGCCCAAAGTTTCTGTTGCAAAGCTAAGCAAGACATTTGTTAAGTGAGTTTTGCCTTATTTTATGAGTTTTCCCTCATTTTACAACCTTTCCTATCATAGTTGTTAAATGAATAAGTTCAGTTGTTAAGTGAGTAACATGGTTGTTAAGTACATCTAGTTTCACCATTGACTTTGCTTGTCAGAAGATCTCAAAACATGATCACATGATCCTGGGACATTGTAACTGTCATAAAGATGAATCAGTTGCCAAGCATCTGAATTTGATCACTTTTTTCAATGCCATTATATCTTTGAATGGTCACTAAATGAACTATTGTAAGTCAAGAACTACCTGTATATTGTAGATGCTTTCAACTTAAATGGAAAACTAAATATAAATACTGTGAATTTTAAATTAAATGAACGAAAGAAAATATATATGTGTTGGGTATCTGTGAGAACAGATCTGCATTATTCTGATAGCAGACCTGAATGAATGGGTGGGAATAAGACAACAGAATATAGAAACAGTAATTGGTCTTTTTGGATATCCACAAATTAATGAAAATGGTGGCTTAGTATCCGTTTTGTTAAATATCTCTTTGCTTAATATTTAAGCATAAACCTGTTAATACATACAAATAAAAAAGGAATGAATATAATTGAAATAGCTGCCTGCTTTGATTATGTTGAAATTTTAACAATAAAAAATGGGTAAGGGGTGTTTCTAAATGCGGGAGAGACCACTAGATGGGAGGATGAAGAGTGACTTTGGGAGGAAGTGGATGTGAAAAGACAAGGAAAAATTAAACAAACTAGAATGGAATAGAATAACTACAGAAAGAGAACGTGTGAATCTTGTATTTTAAAATAAATTATACGTGAAATTATTATTACTGCAAAATGATTAAAGTGTTGTTTAGTGTACATGTAGAGAAAAATATTGTCATAAAGAACGTAGTTGAAGGCAAAGAATAATTGTTTTGGAAGAGTGAAGAAGGTTAAACTAGGATCTTGCATATCAGAGTAGAATTAAAAATAAAAGTGATGGAATTAGTGGGAGTGAAACTGAAACAAGACTATTGCAAGGAATATTGTATTCTAAAGTTTGTATGATAATGATGCATCAAAAATGAAGTTGAAACAATTGCTGTAAATGTCAATATTCAAGAGGAATGAAAGGGAAATTAAAATACTGTGCAATTGTTGGAAACCCAGTATAGATGGTAGCAAAAGATCAGGAGTCTAGCACCTTTTCTGGCTAACAAATGTTATTAAAAGCGTAAGCTTGCATGAGCTGCAGCTCAGTTCATCAGATGCCTGGAGTAAGTACACTTATGTTGGATTTAACTTGAGGTGAATTGGAGAGGAAGGGAAGAAAAAATTGGAGGCTATGCAGATACAGACTACACATGAATCAGATTACAAGTACCCTTATCAATTAACAATTGTAATGTGTTAAAAACCCATTGTTGAGAGCTTCTGAGCCTGGAACCATTGGATGTGAGTTCAACAATTTCTCACTTGATGATGCTGTTTAATTCTAATTTTTCTCATTAGTCACTTTGAGATCTGCTACGGAAGGTCCTGGGAAGTTGAAATGCTCTGATATTTACTTTAGCTTTGTTTTGAATTTTGATGTCAAATTATTTTCTGCAGAGATTGTCCTAACAGAATCCAGAGGAACATTTCTGGAAGATGATGGCACATGGTATGGATAGGATAGGTGCAGATGGCATAACTGAAGAAATGTTTAAATATGAATGTGCTTTGCTTACAAAACCAACTGTGCCTGGGAATTGGTTTCATTCTAGCATCCTGCCAGAGGTTTGAACCCTGCTGTTCTTTAAATGAGCTCTAAAATCTTGGCTCTTTTCCCAGACTTTGGGCAAAGGTGGGATGTGGCCTCCCTGTGCAAAGAGCTTTGTAGCTGTTCTATGTCAGTCTTCCTTTTTTGTTCTCTGGTGTTATTCTCTTTCTTTGGATTTAAATTTGTGCACCACCAGAATCATTGAAGTTCAAGTTACAAAAACTAAATTATTTATAAAGAAATAACTAAATAAAATGGAATAATAAATGGAATGCTTAGCACAAAATTCAGAATCTAGCAAAGAATAAGAAGGGATGTGTTATGTCTCTTTGGTTGTGTAACGTATTAATGGATTTATAAGGAATGCTTGTGATGATGCAGAGATGTGCTAATTGGGGACATAAAAATTGGGAAAATGTTATATGCAGAAATGCCTTGTTGTTGAGATCCTGTATAATTTGTAGCTAATGTTAGGTAAATAGTGTGATGCAACAACAAGTAACTAAAAATTAGGTATTAAATACCAAGTAAGTTTTGGAGTGAATGACTGCAAATTATACCTAAATGTTGAAAAAGTGCAGGTAGATGAAATCGTAATCTTTGCTGGAATGTTTTGTAAAGATAGGGAAAAGAAGAAATGTTAAGACATGCAATTACTACTAGAAAGGTGATGAGAAGTATGTGATCTATTATGAAAATATTTATTGGAAACTGTCTATAACAGAAGAAACATAAAGATTGAATGGAATGGGAATAAGTTACTGAAGTTACATGGTAAAACATGAACAGGAATGAATGGGTACTGGATTAATGTGGATTGACTACTAATTGATTGAATTACCAGTATGAAAGAAATATATTAAGGAAGTTTGATGATATAGAGGGAACGAATTGTGAGCAAAATATATAAAAGAAGAATGAATCAGTCAAGATGGAATAAGTTGTGTTCAATTGAAATTAATGAGATTTTTTTAAAGGTGAGACATTAATTAACTTGATTTTTCTCCTGGATTAGTACTTTATAAGTAACTCAGAACAGCATACAAACTCCTCCCTCTTATTATTTTCCCCACAACAACCCTGTAAAGTGGTTGGACTGAGAGACTGACTGGCCCAAAGTCAGCAACTTGACTGTCATGCTTAAGGTGGGACTAGATTCACAGTCTCATGGTTTCTAGCCAGTACCTTAACCACTAGACCAAACTGGCTCTCTAGATAAAAGTTTAAAGAATAAATGACAATGTATAAAGCTGTATATACTGTAAATATTATGAAAGCAAACTAGTCTAGAGAGCTAAAATGGTATTGGCATAAATTAGAGGTACTAAATTTCATTCTCATTTCTTTTTTTCTTTTTTTTGAGCTAATCATTTTTTATTATTAAAAAGTTTTTATTTTCCATTTATTCATACAAAATACAATTAACCATTGGTACCGCCTGCCCATTCCCCCCAGGCTGCGTCCACCCTCTCTAAACCTTCCCTACTTCCCTCCTCCTTCTCTCCTCCCCTCCTACTCTCCTCCCCTCCTCATCTCCTCTAACCATCCTACTTCCTCCCTACTCCTTCCTCCCCTCTCATCCCTCTCACACACATGAACGCAGCATAGGGGAAATGCCCAAGCATTTACCATGTCTATATTATCATTACCCACCCACTCACCCACCCACCCACCCTCAACCCTCCCCCCCTCGCTTCCCAGAGCAGAGTACAGGGTTATTAATAAGAAGGTTAACAATAATAAAAAAAGAAAAAAAGAAAGAAAAGAAAGAAAAGAAAAAAAAACATCATACTTAACCTTTAACTCCCCTTAAATTAAGACATATAAACAAATCTCTACAACAATTACTATAAAATTTACTCATAAAATAAATGAAACTTTATAGTCCCATATTTTTTCTGAATATAATCTATCCATCTTCTCCATACAATAATATATCTTTCTTGTGTATGATCCTTCAAATAAGCAGAAATTTTTGCCATTTCTGCAAAGTTAGAAACTTTAAATATCCATTCTTCTAAAGTAGGCAACGAGTCCTTCTTCCAATACGAGCCTACTAATAACCTTGCTGCAGTTAATAAATTCAACATTAAAGTAGTTTCTTTGTCATTTAAATCCACAAAGATACCCAATAGGAATAATTGAGGGGTGAACTTTATCTTCCTTTTAAAAATCTTTTGAATGTTCCACCAAATCATAATCCAAAAAGCCTTTACCTTTTTACAATTCCACCAAACATGAAAATATGTCGCATCCATATTACCACATCTCCAACATTTGGGTTGTAAATTTGGATACATACAAGATAATTTTTTAGGATCTAAATGCCATCTGTAAAACATTTTATAAAAATTTTCCCTCAAATTTTGAGCTTGTGTAAATCTAACATTTCTAATCCAAATTGTCTCCCATAAGTCCAATGGGATCGGATCCTGGATATTCTGAGCCCATTTAATCATACAGTCTTTAACCAATTCTATTTCAGAGTCTAATTCTATTAAAGCATTGTAAATTCTTTTTATATGGGCCTGACTCTGATCTTTAATCTGAATAACCAGATTTCCATCTTCTAGTGTTATTCCTTCTTTTTATCTACAGTCCACCTGTCCACTATTTGTAAATATTGAAACCATGACTGTAGAATATTTTCTTGCCTTAATACATCTAGAGATTTTAAATGCCAATCCGAACCTGACCAAATTAATAATTCTTTATACGAAATTTTATCAAAGTTCATGCCCTTAGAAATCCCCTCAATTGCATGTCTAGGAATCCCCCAGATAGGTATTTTATAGTTTAACCTATAATAATACTTTTTCCAAACTCAAAGTAAGGCACTCCTCAAAATATGTAATTTAAAAGCCCGGTCCACTTTCTTATTAAAAATTAAATATGCATGCCAACCATACATTAAATCCCACCCCTCAAGAACAAGAATATCCTTATTTGTTAAATTACCGTATATGCCGGCGTATAAGACGACTTGGCGTATAAGACGACCCCCGTCTTTGGTGCCGAGTTTAGCACTTCCGGAAGTCATCTTATATGCCAGCATATACGGTAAGCCAATCACTTATCCAAGTTAAGGCTGCTGCATCATAGTATAATTTCAAGTTAGGTGCTTTAAGTCCTCCTCTTTCTCGGGCATCTTGCAAAATCTTAAACTTAACCCTTGTTTTTTTCCCAGCCCAAATGAATTTATTGATATCCTTCTGCCATTCCTCCAAATTTACATCTTTTTTTAAAATAGGTATCATCTGAAACAAGAAAAGAAACTTTGGTAGAACATTCATTTTTACAGCTGAAATTCTCCCCAACAGTGACAATTGCAATTTTTTCTAGTCATTTAAATCCTTCTGCACTTTTGCCCATAGTAATTCATAATTATTTTTATACAATTTTCCATTTGAGGCAGTTAAATATACTCCCAAATATTTAACCTTTTTCACCATCTGAAAACCTGTGGCTTTAACCAAACTTTCCTTGTCATTGGCTAACATATTCTTAGGTAATATCTTAGTCTTATGGTTGTTGACTTTAAAACCAGAAACTTTTCCATACTGTGTTATAAGTTCTAATAAACAATCAATCGCTCTAATCGGTTGTTCCAAAATCAAAACCAAATCATCCGCAAAAGCCCGTAATTTATACTCATTTTTTCTTATCTTTATACCCGTGATTACCATTGATTCTCGAATCTGGATCAACAAAATCTCCAATGTTAAAACAAATAACAATGGAGATAATGGACATCCTTGTCTTGTCCCTTTTTCAATATTAAAAGTCTCAGTCAATCCCCCATTAACAACAATTTGAGCCGATTGTTGCTGATATATAGCTTTAAGTGCATGTAAAAAATTATCCCCAAAATTCATTTTCTCTACCAGTGAGAATAAGAATTGCCAATCTAATTGATCAAAGGCTTTTTCAGCATCCAAAAATATAAAAGCCACAGGAATCTGGTTGTTCTTATCCAAATACTCAATTAAGTTAATAATTTGTCTAACATTATATTTTATGTATCGCCCTGTTATGAATCCTGATTGATCACTGTGAATCAAATCCTTCATAACCTGCATTAATCTATTTGCCAAAATTTTTGTAAAAATCTTGTAATCTACATTTAATAATGATATCGGCCTATAATTCTTAGGCTCTGTAAGATCTTGATCCTCCTTCGGAATCAATGATATAAACGCTCTTTTCCAAGAAGGAGGAACTTGTGCTCCCAGCAAGATACTATTAAAAAGCTCCTTTAATGGCTCCAACATTTCTTCATATAAATTTTTATAATACGTTGACGTCAATCCATCTGTTCCTGGAGACTTTCCCACCTTTAACTGCTTGATAGCAAAGCCAATTTCCTCCACAGTAATTAAACAATTCATCTCATTTTGCTGTTCCTCAGAATGTTTAGGAAAATGTACTGATTGTAAATATTTATCTATATCCATTCCCTTTATATTATCACTTGAGTATAGTTTTGTGTAAAAATCTAAAAAACTCTTTTTTAATCAAATTTTGCTGAAAAACCTCAGTACCTTTATATTTTACTTTCTCTATAATCCTAGCCTTCTGTTTCTTTCGTAACTGATAAGCCAACCATCTCCCAGGCTTATTCGCATTACAAAAAGTATTATGTCTCATATAATGAAAATTGGTAGCCGCCTGATCTGCCATCAACATATTAAATTGTTCCCTAAGCATCTTTATAGAAACCTTTAAGTTATTATCAGTTGGGTTAAGAGCAAGCGCTTCTTCTTTTATTTTAATCTCATCTTCTATTTCTCTACGTCTTTGTATCCTTTTATCCCTAAAAACTTTATTTAAATGAATTAAATTTCCCCTCATATACGCCTTACTGGCATCCCAGACCATGGGCATCGATGTACCCTTATTCATATTTAAAGCAAAAAACTCCTTTAAATACTCTTTACATTTTTGTACAAACTCTCCCCGGGTAAACCACATTCTCATTTCTTATCTCATTTCTTAGCCTTGCATTTTCTTACTTCCCAACTACACTTTGCAAAATGTTGCTTATCATGAAAGGGCATGTATATACTGTAACAGGTTTGCATGTCACAGAACATAGAAGAAATGATTGATGGAATGAGATATAGTCGTAATGAAAATTGCAAAGCTTGCTGAAAATTTTGTTTTAAAGCCTAATAATCTTTGGAAGTCCATCACCCTCATATTACACAACATTTATTTTACATTACATGGTTAGGTATGTATGTTTGGATCCATAATTATGTGAAAAAGAATTTTATGGCTAAGATTAAGGGAGAAAGGGTGGGATGAGTTCTGTAGAACTCATCACAATAGAATATAAAGTGATGCTGGACTAGAGAAGGAAGAGAAATTGTGAAAAACCCATCTAGCAAGGCATTTTTGTTGGATCCTGGGATGTATTATAAATGAACCAATCCTTTTGATTACCTAATGTCAATTAACTATACAGATAGTCCTCAACTTGCAACAGTTTTTTAATGACTGTTTGAAGTTACAACAGCACTGAAAAAAGTGATTTATGATAATTTTTCACTCTTACAATCATTTCAGCATCCTGAAATGTGATCAAAATTTAGATGCTTGCCAACTGACTCAAATTTATGACGGTTGCAGTGTCCTGGGGTCATGTGATTACCTTTTTACGTTCTTCTGACAGGCAACATCAATGGGGAAGCCAGATTCACTTAACAATGTATTACTAATTTAACAACCACAGTGATTAACTTAACAACTGTGGCAAGAATGGTCATCAAATGAGGCAAAACTGTTTCACTTAGCAACAGAAATTTTGGACTCAATTGAGGTCATACGTCAAGTATTACCTGTATAGTATCACATCTATTTTTTTCTTCATTACATGATCTCTTTAACAATTTACACTTGTGAGTCCTTGGTTCTCTCTGAGTAAACCTCGTTTTAAACCTTGGTCTACTTGCAGACATTTCATTACCCAAGTAGGAAACATCATTAATGCTAGCGAATGTGGGATTTGCTTCCTTTTTATAGAGTAGCTTACCCTGCCAGTGTGGTAGAGATGTGATTTTTTTCCTTGGTAGTTTCTTGATTAGAGTATTATATTCTGCTGAAAAGGTTTATTCTTTTCCATTCAGAAGCCATCGTTTTCCTTCTCATGAGTACTACACAGAGTCTCCCATACTTCAGAGAGATTATGGATCTGATAAAGATAATTATAGTAGAACTTGCAGGTAAAATTGTGATTGTCACAGGGGTTCATACAAAATGTATTATTGTTTTGATTCAAAAATTAAGATTAAAATTGGCTCCAGGTATGCTATTCAAAGGCCTAATGCACACCAGTCCTGAAAAATTATATACATTGTATGATCATAAAACTGTATATAATTCTGCTGTTTCAACTTTAACAAGAAGACAGTCTTTTAAGAAAATGATACATCATTTAAAAGACTTAATTCTGGTTAGGTGAAAACCTTAGCTAACATTTAAGTGTTAAGTTCCATTTTGATGTATTCTTAACTTAATCTGAAACAGCAATATTTATTCCCAAAAAAGGTATGATCACAAAAAACGCATAAAACCCTATAACTTAAATTCTAGCAATACAGTCATATTGGCATATTCATAAGTATTATTTATGATTCAATGTGTACTAATCTGAGACAAAGATGTGTATAAGTTTGCTGTGAAACTCTGCACATAGGAATCCTCGACTTAACAATTGTAATAGTACCTGCCCATTACGATTGTAAGTCATGACTCTTGTAAAGCAGGCTACCATGTGACGGACCCAGTTTTATGGCTTTTGTTTTGCAGCGGTCACTAAGCAAATCACCATGATTGTTAAGTGAATCTGTGATCAATAAGCCAACCCACTGTTTGCTATGGCCCGGTTTTGCCAAAAATGGGAATTAAACACGATTTTTAGCAAAAAGTTATAAAAATTGCAGTCATGTGACACTGAAACACTACAAATGGCCCTAAATGCAGGCTGGTTGCCAAGCATCCAAATGCAGTCACGTGATCGCAGAGAGGAGGCAGCTGTCAATATTTTAAGAACCGGATCATAAATATATTTTGGGGAGTCTGTCATAACTTGGAACAGTCACTAAACAACCAATTGAAAGTTGAGGACTACTTGTAATCTACAGTTCTGTGTGAGTAGATTTAAAGGGTGTTTTCCAAGACATACATGAAACATGTCCCATGTTGTTAAAGAGATTAAAAATCCTTCTAGAGAGGATACTGGACAAACTGGAACCTTTCCATACTTGAGCATCTGTCTCATCACATATTTCAGCAAAATAGCTTAAAATTAGAAAGCCAATGAGAAAGAACTATTACACAGAACCTGTAGTATAATTTGAAAGAAGGCATTTTCTACATTTACTTTGAAAGATTCTTTCCCTAGACAATATTCAGTGAAATCATGTACATTCTGATACATTTCTTTGAATTAGCTATTTGTTGTTTCAATAAAATAATACCAATGTTAGTATGTCTCATTGCTACACATTACTCTGTTCATTATAACATTTGATTAATAATTGTTTTCATATTACAGATCTGATCGCCTTGACAATTACAGGAAAATCCATCCTTCAGATGTAATTAACAGAGAAGGAAAAGCTAGATTTGCACCATATTCTTCTTACCCAACCCTTCACTCTTCATCTTCACATCAGGAACTGAGTTCAGTCTCATTGCACAGTGAAAGGGAACATCAGCATGAAATTAAGGGAGAGATGAGCCAGGGGAAAAAATTACCGGTTGTAACCATTGATTATAATTATGGCTTGCCTTTGGACTATGCTTCTGAAGAGGAAGATAGAGTTCATTATGACCCACGCACAACAGAGCACTACATTTTGAAATGAATTGGACATGTACCTGCATGCATTATTTTATTTTATTCCTGTAAATTGACCAAATTACTGCTGAGGTTAAAAAAAACTTCATTATCATTCAACGTTACAAAAAAATATCGGTAACAAGTCTAGTTCATTTTTTTCTTATTTAAATGATAAATAATTGGTTAAATATATGTGAAAACAATGCCTGATTTATGTAAAATAAAACTAGATTCTCATTCATGAGACTGAACAATCATAACCATGAACAAATTGTTCTCGCTGCTTTCCTCAACATTTGTATAAAGTGTTTCAGCTAAAATATAGTAAAACAATTGGATTACTGATTTTGATATAATGTTACTCTAAAATAAAGTAGGATTTGAAAGGAATGCAAAATATATAAAGATAAATTCAATTCTGGTAATGTGGCTTATTCTTTTGATAATAATAATCTAGATTTTTCAATATTTCTTTTGAAAAATGTGCATGTAAATATTGTTTCAGGAAAAAAACCTGTCACACTAGAAAAAAAACAATAAACTTGAGATTTGTGTTCCGTTATTATATCTATATTATATCAAGACTTCACTTTTTAGTTGAGGGACCAGATAGTTAGAATATAGCCTGAATATATAGTGAATATAAATATAGTATATTTACCATTCTAATTTCCCAGGAGAAGATAAATTAATTAGTTTCTTGGATATAAGACAGAAGCATCTCACTATTGAATTTCATACCACAGCCACATGTAAAGTACATATCAAATATGTTATTTGAAGATCTGCTTCAGCCCTGTAAATATTATTCTAAACTAAAGGGCACTGTTTATTCCCCCTGTATTACAAGCGCATTCAACTCAAGTGGGGCACAATTATTATTTGGTCTTTATTTGCATTCAAATTCTTCTTTTGCCCCTTTGGAAATAATTCAAATTTAGGACCATATTTCAAGTCCCATACTGCATCTCAAATGCAATTCTACATCCCAACTTGGTACAAATTTTCACATTTTAGGTTAAATTATTCTTTTCCTCAGTAGGTCTAAGTCCCTAGGTCCCTTTCCAATGATTTTGTCTCCTCATGGGTTGAGACAATATATTAAAATGGAACACTTAAGTTTTTAATTCAAGTGTTTACAGTAAGAGCATACAGTAAAGGTAATCATCCAATACCTTAAGGACATCAATGTTTCTTTCTGCAGGCACACTTCAAAGTAGCCTTTGTTGTTTCAGACTAGTCATCCCCACAAGGAAGAACAGACCAAAAAACCAATTCCACAGGAAAGCTAAAGCTATTTTTATTGAGAGTAGTTATAACAACAGAATCTTGCAAGTCTTTTATTTACAGTTCAATGCATTAGAGAGGTGTTGTTTTTAGCCTTTTCTAAATATCTGTTTGTGGCAGACTTAAAATATATATGGGTATAACTCCATCCAGATCACCTTTGCTTTCTACAAAATTTAACCAAATTACTGTCCCCAGACTAATTTTTAACAGAGGCTCTGTTTTAGAGGGGAGATACATTCAAATCTAGATGATATATGCAGAGAAGTCATTAAAACTATCAAAATGTCTTTTTATTCTGTTTATTTCATGCTGATATTTGCTCTTAACTCCACATATAACTAAATTCCATGGTCACTGATTTTATTTAAAGTGATTATTTTCAGACTCAATGACTTTCTTTAAATGTGGCCAAATTTTGTCATGTAACATGTTGTGCTTGGCTAATGAATTAATATTACTATAGTTTATGCAATATATTTTATAGATTGTTCATTGACCATAATAAAGAATCTCCTTACAGACACAAACCAAAGACAATTGCACTGGCTACCCCAGTATTTTAAAGTGCCTAGAAAAATGTGAAATACTTGAAAATTCAATTAGGGCTTTATTCCTGAACATTTCTAAGATTTATGTCATAGAATCTGGAAAAACAAATAAAGCTAAACTCATATTTATCTTAACAGAGCTTAGTTCACCATAAATCCTAAATAAGTAATTTGAATTTATTTCTGGTGAGTTCAAATTAGATGAGAAGTAGAATTTAAAATTATGAGATCCTTATTAAGTTGCCCATTAAAATACTCTAAACGATAAGAGAGAGGAGGCATTTTTCTTTGGTTTTAGCTTGCCAATCAGTCACTGGCATGGCATTCATCAGAGGCTCCAACATCAGAACATGTTGGGAATGGGTTGAACTGAGCAACTGGCCCAAAGTCATCCTGCTGGCTTTCATGCAGAAGAGAAGACTAAAACTAACAATCTTGTTTTCAGCTCTGCTGCATCAAAAGGCTCTCTAATTTGTTTATATCTCATTTTGTTTCCCCTCCCATTCTTCTCCCAGAAAAACAACCCCAAGGGGTATGTTGGGTTGAAACAAAAGGGCCCACTGTGTTTCCTTGGCTGAGGCTGGACTTGATCCTAGATCTCTCTATTCCATCACTGGTCTCCCATCATTGTTCAGTGCAATCTGTTGCCTCAGATTCAGAAAAGTGGCTTTGCCACATGCCTGAAAGATTATTATGCTACATAGTCAGAAGCTTGTATTATTCATTTGATGAGGCTATTTATATTTTGATTTATATATGCTTCCCTTTGGCTCATACACTTAAAAGCTATGCTCACAGACAATAAGTGTTGCACAATTTAAAGTGTGAGGGTGTTTTATGAAAGTACTATTCACGCATGAAAAGCTGGGACAGCTTTTCCATGAAGCCCCGTGGAACAAAAGATAAAAAGTGAACATGCCTTTGTCATCAGGCAGATAAGAAATAAACTCAACTGCTGAATAAACAGGATCAGAGATTATGCATATAATTCAGCTCTTTCCCAAAGCTGTTGTTTTCAAAAAGAGAAAATAAAATGACAGAAGTGAATTTGCAGCATAGATTAAATAAACATTCTAGATTAACATAGTTCACAAAGGCAACATCAAGCTATAGGTTTGGGTTGATTCTGTTTGAATAATTAAAATTAGCTGCTCTTGTTTTTTTTACAATGCCCTCTCTGTGCCAAGTGTTCAATTCACAAATGTCAACTTCCTTGTGGACACTTCTATATGAGGTATCACGTTCATTCTATAACTGATATTTTTTATTTACAAACTTCTAAATTAAAAGGGAAATTATGGAGCTGCAAAAACCTTGTGATTAATCCGTTTTCCATGACTATTTCTGGACCCTATATAAACACACACACAGAATCCAGGAATTAATTAATTAATTATATATATATATATGTATGTATGTGTATATATATATATGTATGTATGTATGTATGTATGTATGTATGTATGTATGTATGTATGTATACACACACATACATATATACATATATATACATACATAAACATACATACACCCAATTGAATGCAGAATTCCAGAGAGTAGCTAGAAGAGATAAGAATGCCTTCTTAAATGAACAGTGCAAAGAAATAGAAGAAAACAACAGAATAGGGAGGACCAGAGATCTCTTCAAGAAAATTGGAGATATGAAGGGAACGTTTCATGCAAATATGGGCATGATAAAGGACCAAAATGGCAGGGACCTAACAGAGGCAGAAGAGATTAAGAAGAGATGGCAAAACTACACAGAAGAACTATACAAGAATGAGCTTAACGTCCCAGATAACCACAATGAGATGGTCACTGACCTCGAACCAGACATCCTAGAATGTGAAGTGAAATGGGCCTTAGAAAATCTGAGCAACAACAAAGCTAGTGAGGTGACAGTATTCCAGCTGAGCTATTCAAAATCTTAAAAGACGATGCAGTAAAAGTGCTACACTCAATTTGCCAGCAAATTTGGAAAACTCAACAGTGGCTACAGGATTGGAAAAGGTCAGTTTACATTCCAATTCCAAAGAAAGGCAATGCCAAAGAATATTCAAACTATCGCACCATTGCACTCATTTCACATGCTAGTAAGTTATGCTTAAAATCCTACAAGCTAGACTCCAGCGGTATGTGGATCGAGAACTACCAGAAGTACAGGCAGGATTTCGAAGAGGCAGAGGAACTAGAGATCAAATTGCCAACATACGCTGGATCATGGAGAAAGGTAGGGAGTTCCAGAAAAACATCTACTTCTGCTTCATTGACTATGCAAAAGCCTTTGATTGTGTGGATCACAACAAATTGTGGCAAGTTCTTAAGAGATGGGAGTACCAGACCATCTCATTTGTCTCTTGGGAAACCTATATGCGGGTCAAGAAGCAACAATGAGAACTGAACACGGAACCACTGATTGGTTCAAAATTGGAAAGGAGTCCGGCAAGGCTGTATACTGTTGCCCTGCCTATTTAACTTATATGCAGAGCACATCATGAGAAAGGCAGGGCTAGATGAATCAAAAGTTGGAATTAAGATTGCCGGGAGAAATATCAACAACCTAAGATATGCAGATGATACCACTCTAATGGCAGAAAGTGAAGAGGAACTAAAGAGCCTCTTGATGCGGTTGAAGAAGGAGAGTGCAAAAGTTGGCTTGAAACTCAACATTAAGAAAACCAAAATCATGGCATCCGGACCTCTCAATTCCTGGCAAATAGATGGGGAAGAAATGGAGGTAGTGACAGATTTTATTTTTCTGGGCTCAAAGATCACCTCAGATGGGGACTGCAGCCAAGAAATTAAAAGACGCTTGCTCCTGGGGAGGAAAGCTATGTCAAATCTAGACAGCATTCTAAAAAGCAGAGACATCACCCTGCCAACAAAAGTGCGTATAGTCCAGGCCATGGTTTTCCCAGTTGCAATGTATGTCTGTGAAAGTTGGACCATAAGAAAGGCTGAGCGCAAAAGAATTGAGGCCTTTGAACTATGGTGCTGGAGAAGACTCCTGCGAGTCCCTTAGATTGCAAGGCGTTCAAACCGGTCAGTCCTAGAAGAGATCAATCCCGACTGCTCTTTAGAAGGCCAGATCCTGAATTTGAAACTCAAGTACTTTGGCCACCTAATGAGAAGGAAGGACTCACTGGAGAAGAGCCTAATGCTGGGAAAGATTGAGGGCAATAGAAGAAAGGGACGACAGAGAATGAGATGGCTGGATGGAGTCACTGAAGCAGTAGGTGTGAATTTAAATGGACTCCAAAAGATGGTAGAGGACAGGAAGACCTGGAGGAATGTTGTCCATGGGGTCGCGATGGGTCGGACAAGACTTTGCAATTAACAACAACAACAACAATACATACATACATACATACACACACAGAATCCATGAATTCCTAGGAAATAAAAAGGGTAGGACATTCTTTTTCTATTTTCCTATTTAGAAAAAAAACAGAGCTGAACTGAAACAGTGGAAAACTGGGGTAACACTGAAAAATTTCATTTTCTATTGCAAGGGAAAGGGGTGGGTTTTTTGCCTAATCATATCCAATACATTGTAGTAGCCCTAGTCAGAAAACACATAATGCAGTATGTGATTTCAATCCAAAAGGAAGTAGATAACTTTGTCTTTGGGGAGAGGGAAGGTGAGATCAAGAGACAAGTCATGACATTGCCATGTGATCCTGGTGACTAATCTGAAATCAGGACTCAAGAATTAAAGG